TATATATATATATATGGAAAAACCATTCATAGCAAATATTCAACGTAATTTTTTACGAAAATACTTTCCTTTGTAATTCTGCTACGGAATTAAATATCGTGGTTAATCTGCAACAAAATTTTTCAACGGAATAGAATTCCATAATTGTTTCGCTATGGAAGTAGCATTCATAGCTATTTAGCTACAGAATTGTGCTACGATATTTTATTTTCGTTGCTTGTTTTGCTATAAAAAAAAATCCTAGCTACGCTGTTAGGAATTTTCTTACGAAATTAAATTACATATCAAATTTGCAAAGGAGTTCAAATTCATGGCTATTTAGCTATGGAAATTTGCAACGAAAATAAAACTTGTGGAAGTTTGACTATGGAGCCAATATTCGTTGCAACTTTTGTTACGAAATTTGTTAGAAATTAATATTTTGAAGCTATTTAGCAACACATATTAGATACGAAAATCGATTTCGTAGATGATTTGCATTGGACTAAATATTCAATATTATTTTGTGACGAATTTTTTTACGAAATTAAATTCCCTAGCAATTTTGCTAAGGAATAATAATTCTTAGTTATGTTGCTACATATCAATTTCTTAGCTGTTTTGATTTAGAGTAAATTAACCGTTGATGTTTCATTACAAATATGTTAATGAAATCAATTATATTGGTATTTTGAAGAGTTTCATATGTTTTCGGTACATTTTTGTGCCTAGGAGTTTAGGATTGAGGTCTAGGGATTATAAGCACTAAAGGGCTGATTGGCATCATCTGAATTTTTAAGATCTTAATGTTTAAGAGGTCTGAATTTCTAAGATAATTTGAATTTTAAGATCTAATTTTAAAATGTTGTTTGGTGTTGTGCTGAAAAGTAAAAATGACCGTTTTACCCTTTTATTTAAAAGTTATAATAAATATTAATAAAACCATAATTTTTTAAGGAAATCACATTTACCCCTAAAAATGACCATTTTACCCCTTTTCACCTAAAATTCCAAGTTTTGGTACATTCCATACAAACATATATATAAACCTCCTAATTATAGTATTATTTTACATACAAAAATGACTTATCACAAACAAATTGTAGCTGTTTAATATTCACAAATGGTCCTAAACATGCATTTTTCAGCTTAAACCAAAGTATAGGTAAATAGAATAATAGCAACCAACTTACGTTATATTACATATATAGACAATTTCCAATAAAAAACATGCAAAATGGCAATCTACTTACCTGTTTATTTCTACCAATACACACATACATATGGTTGCACAATCTTTTCTCATCCAAAATTCAAAAGTAACAAGATTACAATGTTTTGTTCCCTCTATGGTCAATGCCAATGGTGACATTTATAACAACAGGCCCCATAACTTCTTCAGGGTTTATCCGGTCACCACAGTACACACCGCCATTCCTGAACACTATCACCACCAAATGTAACTCATAACCTAACCAAAGTCTACAAAATCACAACACATTTCAGGATCAAAATTGCAAAAAGAAAGAGCAAACCTCGACTTCCATGGCACTGAATCCAAAAACGGAATCACCTTCAACAGCAGCCACAAGCCGATCGGGTTAAGCTGATCAGGTTAAGTTATTGTTGCAACAATACAATAACCTAAACCAACATCCATTGTACCCCATGCTCCTGTATCTAACCAGGTCCATGGTTCCATTTGAACTAAAACGAATCGACCCACATCCATGGTGTTAGCTCCTTCTAAAACCAATATAGGAGAGCATTGATTTCTTTACCAGTTTCAGTAAGAAAGCATTGATTTTATCCAGAAATCACAGAATTTCATCTTATCTCGGGAGAGAATAAAGGAAGAATTGAAGAATGATACATACCTGAAGGCACCTCTGTTGTGCGAGAGCGGTGTAGAAGGTGTTGGAGGCTAGCACTGGGGGTATGGGAGGGTGTCGCCGGAAATACGAATGGGATCGATGGCAGTGGATATGGCGGCGCCTACTGGAAACGAAATGTCTGGCGAAGGATTTCAGGTGATCGGAGTGTACTGGGAGGGAAAAGGGATCGAATGGAAAACCAAGTTTAGAGAGGGTAGAGACGTCGAATGAGGGATGAGAAACATCAACTATCATCCGCCTCCTATTCCCTAACCCGATGGAGCTCTGATTTCTTTTATGTTTTCCCAAAAAACAAACAAGGTTGTGATAGCGTGCAAAATGGGAAAATGGTTAGCAACTTAGCATGGCGGCAAATTTGGCGCCCATATTTCCATCCCATATTTTCAGTTTATTTTCATATATTTGATTTTTTTTTTCAAAATTGTGGAGTATCTCAAAAAAATATTAGAATTTCATATTCTTTGTTAATTTAAATTCTTGATATATGATATTTTTTTACAATGTTAGATACATTTTTATGACTTTTTTTATAAGATAACTTTTAGTAGCATTATTTTTTAATTAAATTCCCACCTACCCCCACCCACCCCCACCCTTACGTTCATAGCCTACCCCTACCCATTTGACTTACCCTATACTCACCCATCTATGGCATATGGCTTAGGTCTTATGGACTAGGGTTTAAGGCTTAGGACTTAGGGCTTATGACTTATGGCTTAGGGTGTATAGAGTTATGGGTTTAGAGCTTAAGGAATGAGACTTATATCTAAGAGGTTATGGAGTATAGCTTGGGGCTTAATGCTAAGAGTTTAAGACTTTAGGTTTTTCAATTAGGGCTTAAAAATCAAGGCTTCCAGTTTATGGTTAAGGGGTTAAGACTTAAGGCTTGTGGGTTTTGGCTTATGACTTAATGCTTAAGGCTTATGGATTATGGATTAAGCATAAGCATTATCCCTAATATTAATCCTAGGGCTTAGGATTCAAGAATTATGAATCATGGCTTATGCTTATTACTTATGTATTATGGCTTATGTCTTATGGATTATGGCTTATGGCTTATAGCTTGTGGATTATAGCATATGGCTTAAGGCTTAAGGGTTATAACTTAAGGGTTATGGTGTATATCATCCATGGGTACTACCATACTACCACATTGACCCATGACACATATGTCATCCATGGGTATTACCATGACACTATAAGCAACTACCACATTGACCAATGGCACATATGTCATCCATGGGTATTACTATGATACTATAACCAACTACCACATTGAACCTGTTGGAGCAGGAAAATGCTCTACAATGTTGAGTGTTTATTAGGTTAGAATATTCGCTTGTATGAAAAGCATATTCCCTCCACTAGTATATAAAGTGGAGGTGATGGTCATTTGTTTAGTAATAGTGCACTATATAGACTTTGTAGTTTAGAGAGAGTGTGGTGGGATCTCTCCCACCAAGGGAGAGTTATCTCTCCCAACCCATGAGTGTTCTTGTAATATTTTATATCTCTCAATTTATCTACTACAATTTTACTCACATATATTGTTCATCATGTTCATATACTATTATCTTCTTGGTAATATCTTCCGCACCGATCCAATCGACAAAATGGGAACCTACAAGTGGTATCAGAGCAAGACCTTTGAGATCTCACAATTAGTTCAAGGGAACGATCCCGATTGGTTTATTATCTTGAAGATTTTCGTCATACTGTGAGTTATTTACTGTTTTATTGGTGATGTTGCTAGAAAAATAAAAAAATTGGCTGCTACTGTTCATACATTTTTGTTGCGGTTAAATTTGAGTTCATGAAGATATTTATATTTTGCTGAAGAAGATGAAGTTTTTTTGTTAAAAAGGGTGTGTTTGATCTTATTATCCCATGCAATAAGATGTTTAGAAAAAGACAAAAATATGTTTATGAGTTAAGAGATTGAACAAATGGTCATAAGTTCGGAGTATTTGATTTTTAGAGTGTTTGGGATAATTATTTCAGAATGTACAAGGTGATTGAGCTGGTGATACAAGTGTTAAATGCATGCTATTTCTGATTGGTTATGAGCACTACATCAATCCTATGGTGTACATGCAAACCCTAAAGCTTTGGATCTAGTTTGTCTAATATACATGCAATAATCATCCAAAGCTCATAAACCCTAATTCTAGCATACAATATTCGATATTATCATTATAAAAGGGTTTAGATCTCACCTTGATTGTTATATAGTAATAACAATCTCAATTCCTCTTGATCTTGACCTTTGAAAGCTTAGTGCCTCAAATGTTGCACCTCTAATGGACTCACAAACACCATGAGCAACAAGATGACTTAGGAGAAGGGGGAGGAGGCACAAAAACGTCTAAGAACCCTTAGGGATTACTTCCACACGTTTTTAGGGCCTTAGGGGTTCCTTATATAGTTAGGCTATTAGGGTTTTCAACCAGGAAACCCTAATCTGACTGCTTAGGCCCTAAGCAGCACATGGACTCCCTCCTTAGAGGCCTTGGACGAATTCTAATGGGTTTCCCCATAGATTTCGTCCACTCCAACTTCTATGGAGTCCATTAGCCCAATTTATGAAACTATCTTATAATTACACAATCAGTCCCCTTTATTTAATTAATCTCTTTTAGCCACAAAATTAATTCTTATTAATTCATGACTAATATTAATTAAACCATATGATTTCTATTTTAATATATTATTCATATAATATATTAATAAATCATAATTAATCCTTTTTCTCCTTAATTCATCCTATCAATTGCTATGGTGAAGGCAACCCAAAAGGATCATGCTCCCAATCGGGTCAAGTACATACCAAAATAGTTATGGGCTTAGACACCTAATCCAACAGTCTCCCACTTGGATAAGTGTAACGCCCCGATTCTCAGGTATTGTTTAAATAAGAATTTATTGGTTTCAAGGCCTACTCAACGAGTTGGTTGCCCTACTCGTCGAGTAGCAACGGGCTTGGTACGCGTGTTTAGTGACCTACTCGCCGAGTCCATGAAGAGACTCGATGAGTAGGAGCTGGCAGAAGAAACCCTAAATCCCGGGGTTTTGCACCCTATTTAAGGAAGCATAGGCCTCCTTTGGCCTCTTTGCAATCCTTTGAGAGCTCAGAAAACCCTAATTCGTGTGGTGTTTTATTCTTGTGTGTGTAAAGCTTTGGAGAGGAGCTTGGGGAACAAAAGGCTAGGAGCAAGGAAGTGTGGGAAATCAGAAATCTACCTCAGAAAGCATCATTTGGAGGTATCAAGTTGTCACCTTTTCTCCTTTTTCTTTCTAGACCTCTTTTGGTTGAGATCTAGGGTTTTTATGGTTTGGTTGAGATGGTAATGTGGGATAAGAGCTAGATCTGAAGTTGTAACTTCAGATCTGTAACCTTCTTGGGTTCTAGAGTCATAAAGCTCCGAATTTGGTCATGTATGAAACCTCTTTGAGTATGAAACCGCTATTGTGAGCTTGGATTTGACATTAAGAGCCTTTGTAGCTATGCATGCACGTAAAGTTTGCAACTTTACGTGAAAAGCATGCCTTAGAAGCTTCGATCTGTTGTTTGGAGCCGCTGCATGGCTCAAATGAGTCTGTATGGCAAAAAGGATTGAAGGGACTCGGCGAGTCGCATGGTCGACTCGGCGAG